TTGCCACTTCTTCCCACAATTTCTTCTCTGTTTGGGGCTATGGGATGAAAAATATGCTGTTTCGTTGCGTGCCAGAAATATCCTTTGACATATGTACTTCTCTGGTTTTCTGAATCTCAAATTCTTCAGGTCAAGTAATGCAATGGATGAAGAACTGTGACAGGACCTTTTTCGATCTTGCCAGTCCGGTTTATCAAAAAACGCGATATATTGTGCACCGTACACGACGTTTGCTGCGCCGCCAAGAAAACAAATCGAACGCTGCAAGACGAAGGTTTAATCATTGTTTTTGCCCACTGGAACAGTATTTACTTCCCCGATCTTCCACTTATTTCAACGCATTTACATACATTAGCAGCGTGAAACATTGGCTATTATCGTAGTGTATACAAACGCTATGCCAGGCATTCTATGCTGTCTGTGTTTTGTACTCTTTGTTGGATGCCACACAATGTCCGTCAGATATCATCAAAATCATTGGCAGCGGGCACCAGGCTGACCCGTGCGATCATGCATTTTTGCAGTATTTCGTGCTGTAATAAGATTGCTTGGAATCACAGTAGTTGGAATTTGTGATATACTGGTGCTCGAACTTCAGCAAGTTAATCGTACAGCTGCCAAGTGTTACTTGGAAAAGGAGCATTGTGTTAAAACTTCAGCTTCCCAGTTTTTCTGGTTCGCGAGTTAGTGGTTTTCCTGCCAGAAACTTTCACATGGTCGAATGTGAGTACCGCGCATAACTGAGGGCTAAATTTGAAATCTTTGAGTTCTACGTGGACGAAGGACATTCTCTCAGAATTCGGGCTTTTCTGGTCCTTGAGCTAGCGATTTCCTTCAAAAAATTTCATGTGGTCGTACGTCGGGCCCAGACATGCGTGAAGGTTGATACCGCGGTCCTGGGGTGCCACTTGGCCGGGGAACCCGCTGGCAAAATTTTGGCGCCGCAGCTTGCGTGGCTGTCGAGTTGAAATACCCTGACAGACAGACAGACAAGCAGATACACACACACATGTCGAGATCATCATAGTATGCGTTTTTGCATCTGCATATATGTAAAATTGCATAACAAATAACATATCCTAGCAGACGAATTTTCTTTTTGTCACTGTTCGCCTTACTCTGCAGTCAGCTTCTAAATTAAAAATTTTTTGGGCAAATTCGATTCTAACTTTCTTACCTGTGCATCTTTTTTTTTCTTGAATACAGGAAGAGGAGCCTGGCAGAGAAAGAAGAAACGAAATTCATTGTGCGCAAACGAAATCGTCATATTTCAGTGGTTCCTGAAGTGAGTGCCAAAAATTTTTTTATTTTTACGCATTTGTGTCCGATACGATGCTTGATGGAAATCTCTTATCGGAGATGAAAATTCGTTTTTTCTTTCCATTCAACGTGGCGGATATGTTAATCATCCCCCTGTACTGTTCAGGCTCGCATTAATGCTACTTAAAGGCACGTTTCTAACTCGCCTGTCGGGGCATGATCTTTCTTGATTCCGAGTTTATGGTTCCACACTCAGGATGGTATTTTAGCATATTGTGTATGTATGCATACGTATGTGTGTGTGTGTGTGTGTGTGTGTGTGCAGATATGTGTGTGCGTGTCTGCGTACGGGTCTGCGTCGTTGTGTGCGTTCTGCAGGATGTTTAAAATGAGGCCGAGTGAAAGATGGCTTGCGGGGACAATCTCCCGAATACTTGGGTATGGAGCAATGTGGATGACTGCGGTGCGTGTCTGGCAGCGGCTGCATTCGTCGTGCACATTGGCTTCTCCAGAGGCGGGGCAGGGGGAGGGGGGTGGTAGGTGTTTCGCTTCCCCCCTCCCGCCCCCAGTGACACTGATAAGAGTTGTTTTACTGTAAAATACTGTCTTCGATACCCCCATTCTTCCCCCTCCCCCAGAACCCTCACTTTTGTCCTCCCACTAGACGTCGCCGTAGCTTAGGGCCGACCGGC